ATGTATGTATATATATATATATATGTATATATATGTGTGTATATATATATGTATGTATGTATATATATGTGTAATATACAATATTACATATGAGTACATCTTGCAGTCTTCAGAAGCTATTTCCATGCTCTGTAGTACCATTAACGAACTTTTTTTTTTCAACAAACATTCGAAGAAGTGCCATCAATTTCATCTCGTCAAAAATCGCCACCTTTTAATATGCTATATGCAGTAAAATTGCACAGAATATGATAGAAAATAGAAATTGGTAAATATCCGTTTTGAACTAAAGATTTATATGATCATTGTTTGTTAATAAGTACGTGCATATTTCCTAGATTATAAACAATTGTCCATACGTTTTCACTATTGATGGTTCCAATATACTACGGGCAATAAAGAATGAAACTTCTCCAGTTAGGGTCAAATGTCGTTCCGAAACCATTTATTACCGCAAGTAGCAAATGCCGCTTCGGAAGATAATGCGCTTCCTTCTTCAATTAAAAACACTAAAATGAAAGGTAGTAAATTACATTTAGTTATAAGCCACCTTATTAAAGTCAGCCATTAAATTATTCGTATTGGAAAGTAGCAACTGCTTTCTTTTGAAAATGAAAAACATTTCCATTCATTGATTCTGCCGTCAGTATTTGTGTGCCATTGGCACTTTCTTCCGAGTGCAGTCAAAGCAAGGTATGAAACGGGTTACTTAACAATCAGGAGTATAACATGCAAAACTTCGATATTTGAGATTTTCTACCACTTGGTCAACAACTGACAAAAAAATAATCATCTTTTACACTCCTATACGTACAAGAAGTTCATAAAAAAAAGTATGACTCCCGTTATGGTGAGATGAGAGATCACACCATTTCTTCCTCTTCCTCTTCCTTGTCTTGAGCTCTCGATTTGAATACACACACACTTTCTCTTATATGCATTGACACACATGTCGGCAGCTCAGTCTAGCCCTTAGCTAGTGAAGGCGCTGCTCCCCTGAGGAGATACCTGAAGGGGAAATCAACCTAAATTAGACGTGCAGGTCAAGAGCTCTTCAAACTTTTCGAGTAATTTTAGAAGTTTTGCAACTAGCGGCAGTCATAAATGCATTCACAAAATGATGAGACATTGAGGCGGTTTTGGCGTCAATTTCCTACAATAAAACGTCGCATGAGTTGTAGCTTTCCTGTGAACTTTGCTACCCCCGGCGTTCCCACTCTGAGAAGTTATTAACAACCCTCAGAACAGGTCGGGTGGTCTTAATCGATTTAAGGTCATTTGCGTCTGATGTTGAAGAAGACAACTTACAAAGATATCTCATAACATCGTGCATCAGAACGTCGGGTGAACGACATGGGATTTTGAATATTTCCTAACGTAGGATATAATATCACTTGTTATTCTTTTCCATAAACGAGAATTGAAAATAATGAAATAAAGAAATATATCTTAAAACGCTCAACTTCGTGTTCTTAATGGTATGGCAGTCTATTCTATAGGTGTATTTTATTGACCGGATTTCATTTTTCCCCTTCTTAGCAAGTTTTCCAGCAGCAGATAGTTATCCTCTTCCTCCAACATAAGTATGTCGCAGAAATACATATATACAAACACATTTGCACGAACACGAGACACTTCTAGACACAAATCGCAGAAAAAAGAAAGAAAACTCTCCATGACAAGGAAAAAATTCTAATCCGAGACCCTTTGAGTCGAAGTGTCAAGTGAATTTGTGTTTTATCCACCTATACCATTTATTTCTGTTTTCTTAAACAATAAAGAGTTACAATAACACACGTTTGGATTACTCTGGGAGAGGTTTCTCTGGGAGGGTTTCCCTTAGTACGCGTTTTTGGATTCATTGGGATTTATATAACTAAATATCAATATTATTTAATAAAAATCAACTCGAATGTAACTTCAGATACGGACTATTTGACTTCTGTCTACATATGCATCGCAAACTATGATTCCTTTCTAAACTCAGTGAATAGTTCATTATCGCGTATTATGTCTGCAAAAGGCAACTCATACTCATCGTAAGCTATTCAGAGTTGCTTGTTAACAACATAATACTTATAATAATTAAACTTATTTAAAACCTATTCGTACATGAGAACAATTAGTAAATTTCTTGAATAGGTTATTAGCATTGATTGAAAAAGATACTCGTTAAGAAGATCTCTGTGTTAATACAGTTGATTACACATACAACTACACTTCAAAACCAGTGTAACAAATCTAAAGATTTGAATTTTTTAAGTCTTATATCCATACTGTTATGTAACTAATTTATGGCTAAAGTATTTGTATGTCGTTCTAATTTTAATACACATTTTGATACATAATACTTGAATGAAAAAATTAAAAATACAATTTAGCAACTGATCAGCAATTTGCTCTCGTATCCTGTTATCTGAATCCCTTCAAAACCAATTAATGATCTACTAGTTTGGCAATCTCTCTATTCGGCTTCATTTCAACATCAGCTTAAAAAACAAGCTTCGATTACAAATCGTAGAGTTCGGCGGACTGATTTAATAAATATTTGGAAAAATAGGAGCCTTTATCAATAATTTTAAAGAGTATTGTGCAAAAGTCCCTGCTGATGCGCAATCTTGTTTTCAAATTGCGTATATCGCAGTTATCTAGGACACATTAAACCGAGCGAAAAAATAAATTTGCATATGAAGATATTAAATTGAGTTATTAATTTTTCGAAGTACACTTCCGACTCATAAGATCTTTGAATCTAAATGTGTCTATTATATAATGTACACCACTACTTTGCGTGTTTAAGATTGAATCTTCAAACGTCAGACCTGTCAGCACTAAAACAGGAATTTCATTATTATTCTGACAGCCACAACTAGATGCTATCAATGTCTTCTAGTCTCAAGCCGCATAACTACTGGGAGCGGTTTGTAAGCTAGGGTAATTGCTGTGAGCTGATGCATGTTGATAGAGAGATGCAATTCTCGTTGTCACTATTTTTAATCGTAAACAACTTTTGAATTAATTTTCTCTCTTCTGACTACGTAAGTTAATTATTATTACCTGGATATTTAAAACAGTTGATCTATACTTATTATTCTTTTACAATAATTGTAGTTATTGAAATATAACTCTTTGCCTAAACCTATCTATTGGAGACAATTCTGAAAGTAATTGTTGTAATCTGTTGGCAGACTCTCATAGATACAGAAATTAATTTTTTAAATTTTATTTTTTTATTTATTTATTTATTTATTTATTTATTTATTTATTTATTTATTTATTTATTTATT